GGTTGTTCAATGGTTAGAGGTCTAACACAGCCTAACACAGATTGCGGGCTGGAACGTGATGCGATTCGCTCCTCAATAATATAGGCTGCTCTGACGGTCTCAAGCGAACCATCACTGCTTTGTGATTAGGCTTTTGAGCCAAAAAATTTGGTTGAGGAACCTAATCACCCTACTACTCATGTCTGGGTGCCCTGGCTTTATCCCATCCCACATACAACAACGAATTGCACCATTACACATAATCCCACGTGCAGTTATTGAACTGACCTCGTCAGGGGTTTCCCCATGCTCCTGATAACTTATCTCTGGTGATCTAGAGGCAGCTGCGGCTGACCCAGCTGGGATTGGCACTGTTTTAGCCGCTAAGCTGGAGGGTTTCTGACTGAGAGATTCCCGGTTGGTAGGGACTTAGTATGACGTTCCGCAAATACGGACCGTACTTGCTTATGCCCAAAAGGACCGTGGCTCTGGTTATCTCGAGGACAATCTCTACGACTCTTTGAAATCTTTATCGCACTGCCCGACCTAAAGCTTCTTTGCTGTCATGATTTTACAGGCTATGCTGGCTGCAATTAAGTTCTTGAGGGCTCAACCAATACCAGGAAAACCAACAGGAGCAGCCCAACGAAGAACAGAGTCCCCGTATTGCGAGTAACCGCATTACGAGGCGGTTTGGAGTTAAAGCCGTTCGGCCCTCTGAGGTAGGGTTGTCAAAGCAGTAAGGCGTTTCGCTAGGCGACCAGCATGTCCGTATTTATGGAAACAGCGATGCTGCCTTCCTCCAAGGAAGGATGGGTTGGAAAAGGTCGGCCCTAAAAACCGTACACTCCGATCGCCAAATGGTTGACCGTGACCGTCGGCACATTCTTCGATATGGTCGAAATACTTTTGGAACCGAAATGTCCGGCGCTGCCCAAAAGGCACCTGCCGCACTCCCCGGTCATTATCACCAACCCTGAGTCCTCGGGACAAGCCGGCCCCCTGCACCCAAGTGGCTCAAAATTTTGGGTCATTGGGTTCAGCCAGAGTCCCCCAGGAAAACCCTAACAAGTGCTGCCTCGCAGTTCAGACTTTTGAGTCAGATGCTAAGGGAATGGTTCCCGAACGAAACCCTAAATCCTCCCACTGCACTGTGGGTCAGACTTTTGAGTCAAAGGCTCGAGGTGGAGTGTCTCAACCAAAACTCGTTCTTCGGCTTAGGCAGCTCTTGCTTGGCTTGCAGCTCTTTGCTCACTGGCCTTCCCCTATACTCCATCCCTACTCGCCGAACGAAACAGTGCCACCTAGCCAATGTTCTATGTCTAAACCGTCGCTCAGAAAAATTAACCAAAATAATCACTTATTAACCTCGGAAGATATTATCCACGATGCAGCCTTTAATGTCCGTACTCTATACCAAGTTGAGTAACAGGCATCTCTTGCTGAAACCTTGCTTTCCATACCTGTCGATATATGTTGTATCCAAAACAAGCATACAAGACCCAACTTAGGACCAGCTCAGATGTTCCACACTTCTCTCTTCGGGTATCTGGTGACCCTGACACCATGGCTCTTGATAACTACGGTATCGAAAGTGCACTAAGCTCTAAGGCTGAAAGTGTCCTACTGGACTAGATCCCAGTGAGCAGTCGTCTTTGCGCTGTGCGGTTGAGAAGACGGAGAAGTCTTTCGTTGCAGGCAGCAGCCACACCTGCTTCAACCGATTCGATCAATCGGTCAAAAGAAGGCACGTGTCAGTGAGAAAATATGCGAAAAAACGAAGCAGCAATTCACTCCCTCGATCGCCATCCCGAGCCGTGAGCGGTCTCCTTCAACACAAACGCTGGAAGAAACAAGCGGGCTCGAATGAAACATTGACACCAACCCACCATCATCAAGCGAAATCCAGGGTGAGACTTTAAAGAAAGTAGCGAGGTCCTGATGAGCAGTCTGACAGTCATACTGCAGAATATTTGGATCGAAAACAGAATACTAGCCAAATGTAGCTCCTCGATCGTCATCTCAGTTTTCAAAAAGGGAGCAAGAAAGTCAAGTGAAAGCCATCGTGGTATCAGCCTCGTATCCGTCGCATCCAAGGTGCTCTCTGGCATTATTTTGCGCATGTTGATAGATTATCGAGAGACGGATTCGTGAGAATCAAGCTGGGTTTCGCCAGTCGAAAATGCATCGACTATATCTTTACCTTGAGACAAAGGTCTCGCATAGACGGTTCTTCGATCAGAAAGCTGCTCCTGATTTCGTCGATTGTCAGAAACTTTGGCGGTGTCTGGCGATCGAAGGTGTCCCTTCCCAATTTATATCCCTTATGATGGTACTCACTGTATGCGAACTCCTTTGGGCGCGTATGAGTATACGGCAAGCGTTCGCCTAAGTTCACCACGTCAAGTAGTGTAAGAAAAGGCAGCCCTCTCTAGCCTTTCTTGTCCAAATTTGTTATTGATGTGCTGCTTGAATTTTCTGCCTACCACGGAAACCTCGGAAGTTGAAATGCCCCTGGGACGTTGACGCGCCGACATCGAGTATGCGGGAAATATTTATCTCATTGGTTCACATCCTTCCCAGATGTATACGACCTTAACTAGCCTAAATAACTCTGCCACAGGCTGGCATGCGCTTTACACCTGCAAAGTGCAGTGTAAGACGGAGTTGAATCAAACGCAAACCCCATGCTTGCGGACAAGCCAACCGGTGTGGCAAATACATTTGTTTATCTGGACAGCTGTATGAGTTCCGGTGGACTGGCTGGATATAAGATTATTCCTCAAATCGGGAAACCCAAAGCGGCTTTTGCAAACCTCCGACACCCATGGCACCGACGTGATGTGAGTTTGTCTGTCAACGACAGAGTTCGTACTGCGGTGATATGATCCATACTGTTTTAAGGATGAAAAACGCCCAGAGGACACACGAAAAATGTCAGTGTTTGACCACTGATGTCTTCGAAACATTGGTCAGGCCTGGCAGGAACATAGGATTAGTAAGCTGAGGTAAGCAGAATGGTCTTAGGAAGAAGGAACTCTCCCGTGATTGATGAATTATTCACGCTTCATAGGATACGCTTTTCAGGACATGTACTCAAGATACGGGAAGACCGTCTGTCTTACAGAGCTCTTTTCTTCCAGCCCTGTGCTGGGTGAAAGCGACCGACAAGTTTATGACCCCGCAACGAAATGTGAAAACACTAACCAGTAAACTTAGTCGGGTAGACAACTGTCGCCTCCCTAGATGGCGACCACGGGTCATAACTCACCGATGATTAATGACAGTGGTAGAAATGGCCCATCGCGCAGACAGTGGCGCTCATGCACCAAATCTATCGCCTTCAACGCGTAGTTACCCGGCTCCCGAACTAGCTGAGTATGCCATCACCTCCAAGGTTTAACCGCATCTCCCGCCCTGCCCCACTTTCCGGTGCTCAAAACTGTAGCAAAGTGCCAGTGATACGTGGTTATAGCTGAAAGATTGAACTGAATTATTTACCGCATCGGACCTTGAGCTCAGAAGTTGCGTTTGCCTGAGATATGAATATGGAAGGAGGTAGACTTAGCGCTGCTGGGGAACGACTGGGTGCTTGTCTTGGAGTGGAATCGAGATAAGCTGAAAATGGTGAACAACTACTGCAGATCACTGTCTCTGTATAGTACTGACTTCCGAGACAGGCGAAATTCTCTGGGAAAGTTGTGTTCTCCAAATGCGAGCCAGCCTGCAAAGCAGATGGACAACGGTCATCACATATAGACGGCTCACGGACTCTGGTGTGAAACCAATCTACGAAATCTATCTACCAGATCATTTTCAGACTAAGTTTTCCAATGTCGACTGTTACTGGGAAATACTGTCAATAATCTTACAGGATGCGAGGTGCTCTATATCTGAGCACGGGATCTCAATCAAAATTTAGAAAATACTCGAGGATCGGGAATCGAAAGTATAATAATCTCGCTAAACTGTCAGAAATCAGGTGAGGAGCATCTGCACGGATCAAGAAGCTTGGTGGGTTCGGAAAACTGAAGAAACAGAGGAAGCGATAAACTCTGGGAATAATGCACAGAACTGGGCCAAACAGACTTCTGGTACGCAAAAAAAAACAGACAAAAGCGGTTCTTATGCGCCTGGAGGCCAGCCGCCCCTAATAACATCATTTGGGCGGTGCAGGACACGGACCAAACGAGGGCACGCCCTGATTGGTCAGAATGCCAGCCAATCCGAGTCGAGCATCTTTGACCCGATGCTTCTCGCCCCCTCTCGGAGATTCTGGCATGACCTTGTGGAATACTCTGTGACTACCCTATAAATACAGTTGTAATGATTTTTCTTTGTCCGTGTAGAGCTACCGCGCCTTTTGATATGCCATGGTGGGTGGGGCAAGAAGCCAAGGGACCGATACAGAGTTGCACTACCACTCAGCAAAACACAACATTACGAATGAAAAGGAACGCCTGAATGCAGGCTTGTAAATATTCAATGATAACTCAACAAGTCACTTGCCGAATCATTGCCGTGTCCAATTCAGATAGTCGCCGGGAGAAAATCAGTCAACCCCGGACCCGGCAGCAAGTATGGGAGCGAGTGGGAAACGTCTGGATACTCTAGGTTTGACTGGCCTTCAAGAAAGGAGTCGGCATGATCCATCTGTGCATGGTTGGGTACTCTGCAAGATATGGCTGCCTATTGATGTTGACGGCGCTCGTGCCATCAGCTTCCATTCAGATTGTTTGAATGTGTAGGCACCCAGGAGTGACTGCACTGGACTAGTATCAGGTCCACTCCTCATCCATCCATTATTTTCGTCAGCGTAAGGCTTCTAAATAGATTGTACGGCAGCAAAAGATCAATGCTGACTAGTGCTACGCGGTCGATGTTGACTACGTTGCTGATTGGGTAAAGAAGAATGCATCAGATACTGACACAGTCAGAGGATTCTCGATCATCCGTAAACGGAAGAAGCGGTAGGGTACATCGATCTTACTCAGCAACTTATTACCTTCCAAGCACTCTCCATGATGAAGGGCAACAAGCAGGAAAACTTACTTCAAAGTGAATTTTCACTAGCAGTTGGGGTTCAAGCGTTGAGTAGTGTGGCGTCTGTCGGAGGTGAATTCCGAGGATTCGTCTATCATGGGGCCTTTGTTGGCGTAGACGAGACAGAGGATGGACGTTCGATGATCGTTGCCAAACCAGGTAGATGGGAAGTTGATGCCAGCAATTTGAGTTAAGGATTTTCAGAAGAAGACCCTCGAAAATTTACTGAGGAGAGCCCGGTGTCCTCCAGTCAAATGGCTGGTGCGCTGAAGTCTCCGACGATCGGGTATTTTGAGTAGACAAAGAATAGGAGGCTTGACGGGCTGGACACGGAGCAATGGCAGCTGAGTTCTATGGAGAGTGAACCCCGCCCGCCCTAAACTTACTTAAGCCAAAATGTCATCATCATCATCGACAGCAAGCCATGATGCACTGATAAGTGAGTGATGGGATACGGGCGGGAATATTGTGTGAGGGCACATACAAGAACGTAGTCAGAACGATGCGCGATATGACCTGGGGGTGTAATTGCTGAATCCAATGCGTCTGGGGCAAGCCAAAATTAAGCAAGTAGTATTAGATAAAAAAAAGTCGACAGCCTGTAATAACCCCCCGCGGCTAGCTGCCCTGCTACCCGAAGGAAGCACGAAGGCTTCCCCAAGCATAACCAGAGGAAGTCGAGATGCAGAGGTCGGGTTCGAGCCACGGTTCTTCCGGTCAGTAAATTCACGCTCTGCCCACTTGAACTATCTTGCGCAGTATTAGATACGGACTCGTTAAAGATGGTAAGTCATACAGCACATATGAATTAGTATACATGCCGTTCTGTTCATTGTAGGCGTAAATAACCGCTCTCGCTTGTCGTCCCATTCGACTAGCATAAGCTGGAAAGGCAGAGTTGCGCAGGCAGGTATGGATGAACGGGACTGAACTTAAGGCACACCGGACGTGAGAAGGCGGATACACCGAATCTCACGAAAGCAGGTTCGGAGGTGAATGTGGTTAGGATGGCATCAACAGTGAAGAAGGGGGCTGAGGTAGGACTGGATGGGATAAAGGTTATTGGTGGTACAGAGGAAGGGGTGGTTGTGGGGGTATACTAGAAGAAATTATTGACTGCCAGGTATGGAACGTTGTGGTTTTGGTTCGCTGTTGGGGGCGTTCATTTTGAAAGTCCGATTGAGCAACCCCGAGGAATCAAAAATATAGCCAGACTTTGACGCCCGAGACTGAGGAGATGAGTGTAAGCGTAAAGCGACGGGGCTGGGCGTGATCATTGTCACTTAGGGTAATGCCACCTTCAATCTCACTAGTGAAATAGGAATATGAAGACCTTATTATAGGTGGTGCGGAGAATGCGGTGAACTTGCGTAGCGATAGTGACTGCAGCTAATTTATTGAGCAGTAGGCTAGTGCTGAAAAACCGGGTTGTATTAGTAATGTTTAGGTAGGGATCAGCGGATGCTAGTGTGATGGACAAATTGACTGAAGTTAAGTTGAGGTCTTTTGAAACAGATAGAATGCATCGAATATGGGGGCTTCAGACCAAGGCTTTAAAATAACTTTATAATACTAACCGTAACGGCTTGGTCTTTTGGTGTCTGATGTCGTGTTACGACAGTGAAGCATCGGTGTTGAACACCGATATCATGCTGCCGAGGATGATGATTTGTAACCAGAAGGAATCACAAGAACTGATGTACCACCAGATTGCCCAAACCTGCAACAGTCGAGATGTCTGGGTCAAGTCTGAACCGCGGGCCAACTGGTCAGTAGCTCCGCACCTGAACCTTCAGTACATCTCAAGCTTTCAGGCCGGCGCGGTAGACTGATTTTTCGAAGGAACGGATTGGCAGCTACCATGCTTCTCGAAAAATCTGACAGACTCACTATGTTGTATCGTCGATTTCGAACATAGAAATTCGATGGGTTATCAGAGAAATACCATTGGATATGTATACGGAAGCTGTTTAACAGCTTGAACGGTCGCAGGGCTCCACGATGAAACTGAAAGATTCGCTCCATGCCATTCGTGCCCCAGTGGTACGCGTAAAGTGAGGAACCTGATGGACAAGTGTGCAAATTCGTATACGGTGTACAGGGGCACGTTAAAGTGTCACGAAGACCGATGGAATAACGAATGAAAAATGGGGTTGTGGGAGCAAATATTCTGGGTGCTGATGGATGACCAGGATGTTCATTTTAAAGCTGCGCTGTAAGTGAGGATACGCAGCACATGGAGTGAGCATAACGACTGCAGGTCTGTCGACTAACGTTAATCCGTTGAACTGAGGTGTCGCGGGTTCCCCACCCACATATGCATCAATATAGAGATAAGAAATCGATTCAGATTGGCAAACGATGTTACGGTTATCTGCTTATAGAACTTGAGTCCCGCGTGCCAATCCGCGAAAACGACCAGGGAATCCAACTTCTGGAATCACGGAACCATTGCAAAGATAATGATACACACGTTCAACAAACCTCAACGGTTTCTCCCCTGCGGATACCCTAGGGTTACAAGATAAGGCGGTACAATCCCCAGCCTGAGAATAAAGCGCAGAGCACTTCTCCTCAAATTCGATATCGTCGCAACGAAACAGATATCGACGGCGAGGCAAAAATCAGCGTCCAGCCAAAGTCCGTGAGAGTTATAAAAAATAGTTCAGTAAAACAAGAAGGGCTCAGTTCATCTGATCAGGGGGAATAAATATGGGGATTGGCTGCCACACGTGGTTGGGAACGGAAGTATATTTCTGGTAAGCCGTCTTCTACAAATGTTTCCAAGGAAGTTTTAGTATGGCCTCTGTTCAGGTGAAAAAACACGATAAACTCTGAATGATGTAACGTACGGTCCATAAGGACAAACGGCCTCGCAGCCATGGGGATGGTGGATACAACAGAAGGGGCCAAACTGGCACGCCAGTCGACTGGTAAACGTAACGTGCCACCCCTATTTGCCACCGGTGGCCACCAGCGGCGTGTTTACTAGGTCACTGC